CTTATTGATAGAGAAAGTGTGTTAAGGTTCTTTCAGCATGGAAGATAATAGTGCAAATCAAACGTGTTCTTCTCGTGTTTTTCTTGTTTTTTTTTTACCACCAAATGAATCATTTTTATTCACTCAGTTCAGCTTTTTGTGTCCTAATATCTCTGATTCTGAGCACCACCACTCACGATGATGTGTTTTTTGTCTTGTCCAGATCTGCTAAAGAGCGCAAGGTCCGCATCTGGAAGGACTACGTGGCACCCACCGCCAATTTGGACCAGAAGGACAGGCAATTTGTCGCTAAGGTGAGGCCTTGAAATGGCTTTTATAAGCTGTGAACCAGTGGCAAAGGGGTCTAAAAATGGCACTTTTTCTTTGGGCTCTAACATAATGTCTTTCAATTTGGACCATCTTGCTTCCTTTGAAAGTCCTCGCTTCTCTTTATCCAAAAAAAAGGAGAAGGTATAAATCCAGCAGCACGACATGCAGACATTATCCAGCATGAATACAACCCTGGCTTCAGCGCTTAGGGAAGTTGGTCATTTCTTTTTGCGTTCACCACTTCATGTCTTTTCAGAGTTTTCCAATTTGCTCCTTGCACTGCAGCAGAAGCAGAGCCACTTTTAGGTGTCTAACAAATAATATCTTCTTGACACCTTTTTTTTTTTTTTTTTTACATTTGCACCTTCCACTTCCACTATATAAATATATATATATATAAAAAAAACCTTCCCCTAAAGTAACTTGGAGGAATGCTTTACGGCAACCGTGAAGGACTCCCCAGTCAAATTAAGACTAAATCGCTGGTGTATGCTGTAGCAGCAGCAGCGAAGAACGACCCCCAAAAGCCCAGAACCAGAGATATTAGCTTTAGAGGTTATTTGCTGTGGCCTCAGGGGAAGAGAAGTGTCCTTAAAATCAAGTACAAGGAAGTGCACTCCCTCCTGGTTGTCGACACACATTAGTTTAAATCTAGTGTCTTTTACAGTCTTACTATGGGATGAAATATTACAGAGCCCATGTTTTTTTTAGCTTTAACGTAGTAAAGCAACTCTAATGTCAACACAACAACTTTAAATCTGGTCATCTATGTGTGCATTTTGTTGTGTTGCACACAAGCCTTCTTTGCCTTTCAGTAGATATATTCTTCTCTGAAGTTAATGTTTTGTGTGCGTTTTGCTTCCTTTGCATGCCAAACTTTAAAGACCTTTTTAAAAAAACAGCCAGCTCAGGGGTTGCATAAAAAGTGTTTGCTTACTGCATGAATTTGATAAACTGCATTTGATAAAGAAGGTGCAAAAAGGAAACTGTGAATGTATACATTTTTTCTTGAGCAAGAGGCTGGAGAAACATAGAACATTTTATTATCACTTTGAGCTACTTTCACATCTCTCTGAAACCCCTTCAATAAAAGAGGGTAGGGTGTGGAAAGAGAGGGAGTGAGGAGACATTTGATGGTGAGCTCAGAATGGCGGTGTCAAAAAAGAGAGGTAGAAATAGGATATGTGACTTTTCATGGAGACTTTGGGGAATGAGGATGAAAAAACATGAGGAGCAAAAGCCAAAGAAAAACGATATTATCAAGATCCCTCGGACTTTGTGCATCCTCTCTGGTATCCTTGAACTTTTGTAATGCTCCGATGCTGCATTGCTGATGCTCCCAGTTAAACCTTAGTGCAATTTTTGATCTCTATGACTCCTGTCTCCGTCCTCTTTTCATGAAACCGCTAGGTTTAGAATAGGAATTTATTTTTCTTACACATGCACTCCTGACAATTTCTAGATAACTCCAAGATGATCGGGCCCTGAGTTTTTCAGGAATTCACACATGCACCTCACGGCAGGATTGTCTTTGTCTGATGCGCTCTAACAACTCAAAATACTCTGATTGATTTAGTTGAGAAGGAGTCTTCTGTAATAGTGGCAATGTCTGTTAATATCGATGACAACTGTGGCCAGCTGTAAAGAATATAAAGCAGCAAAAGTCAGATAAACTTCCATAATGTACATGCCTACTCGCTTGAGGTGAATGTTACAGACTACTGCCTGCCATGTTCACACATCGGCTCACAGCGATTTCTTGCAGACGTTGTAATCAGAGGCTGGCAGGAAAAGTTTGCATAAAGCTGCGGTGTAAAATAGGGCAGTTTGCATTCACACATGCAGCTCACCCCAAACTTTTCAGCAGTGTAGTACATGTGTGAATGGGGCTTTAGCTTGAGAAGTCGTTCATAATAACGTCAAAGGTCTCTAAAAACAGCATCAGCACCATGTGACTCAAAAAGGCTTCCATCAGCAGTGGAAATGTCACGCTGACCCTGCCATGGTTTGAACCGTTTCAAAGCTAAGTACATATTGGACAGCCTGAGGTTGCTCAGGGCTGTCATTGCCCCTTCAGTCTTCCCGGTGACATTTCTCAGTCCCCTAATAACTGCAATGCACCGACTCTCCCAGGGACACATCAATCCATCAATCCCATCATCATCATCATGATCATACACTCCTTTTCTCGTCCACTCCACTATTTACTTCTTATTTTCTGAGTGATGGATAAAGTGGAGAGGCAGAGCAGGTCCAATCCCCACAAGTTAATCCCGCTGACGCATCTTCCCTCTTCGAATGTCTCGCCTCTTTCCTCTCACTCCTGCTGGGGCCGTGGAAATGGATATAGGCCATGTCCCAATAGTCTTCTTCTCCCTGCCTTCTTTTACCCGTCCCCTCCTCTCCCCTGGTCAACCACCGACTTGTGAGGTGATGGATAAAAGGTGTTGTGGTGTACAGTAAGCCCCTTTACAAGCCCCTCACCCCGAGCTGCTCAGAAGCTCTGCCAGTTGTAAAGTACTTGTATGAATGTGTTTTGTTCATCTGTCTGCAGAGTTCTGGTGTCTGGTGCTAAATATTGCTAAAAAAGTGTCTTATACTGCTCTGTAACCATATTTTCCAAATATGGCAAACAGGTTTTTTTAGGTGCTTCTTAAAATTAGCCAAGTTCTGTGTTAAAATTGGCCACGTCTGCAGCGATGTATAACCTGGTGTCTGTGTCAGTACTCCAACCGGCTTCTAAATAATGGGGCCATGCAGACCGGCATCTCCTGTGGCTAATTCCCTTACTATTGAATAGTACCTCAGACTACAACACTATTCCAAAGTACAAAATGATTTAAGAGAGGATTTAAAAAAAGACAGGAGCTTGTGGTGCTGTATTAAAATATATAACTGGCAGTTCATGGCGCTGTGGTGTCTGAAGGGTTAATGATCTGGTGCATAAGGTGTAATGTAAGCTATAGTGAGAATGGTACATTTCAACCCTGTTAAAGAGGAGAAACAAGCCTCTTTTGGTTCTGACTGTGTTCTATGTCCCTGTTGAAATATGTCAGAGTGGTTACAAGGTCAGGCACCTACTTTAAGAAATGAAAAAGTCTCTTTTCTGGTAGATGATGAAGAAAGAGTATAATGGTTCGTACCCCAGTTAAAACAAGCGGAGCAATCAGGTCACAGAAGTCTCTCTAAATTCTTGCTAGCACTCCCAGGATAGTGTCTTACACACTCATCAGCCTGTTTTCAGCAGCACCCTGAGGCGACACGCCAGCTTAATGTGTTTATCATTCATAGCATCTAAAACACCAGTAGTTTAAATGAAACCATGTAATTTGGGTGACAAACTATCTCCACTGGCAGCCTAACCCAAACATTGCCATAGGTGTCTCCTTTGAGGGAGATCATCTGACATGAGTAATGAGCTAAGTCCTGGCTAAGCCCTCGCTCGGCCCCGTGGTTAAAACAAACTTTATGGATTCGACTGACAAATCCAACACGGTCCATGACAGCAGCCAAGATCCCTCCTTTTCTCCATGACTGATCCAGGACACTGCAGATGTCATGTCAGACACAGACAGAGGGTGGCAGTAGATCCCCACCTCTTAGTGTCACATTAGACCAGTGAGTCATGCTACCCACCTATTCGTCTCCTCTGCCTGCTCACTTGACCCCTCATGGCAGCTACTTTGCAAAGACTTTCAGCTTCATTTTTTTCTATCCATTCTCCATCTTCTTTTCTGGTGATATTTGCCCAGAGATTACAGTCTGTCTCCCTGTCTCGTCTGTCTTTGGCGCGTGTTGATCTTTCCTCCTTCGCCTCTGTCGTCTCGCCTCCCCCGGCATATAATTAGCCAGTAAATGCTGAGCCATTCTCTTCTGCTTCCGCCACATTCTCTCCCTTTGCACTTTATTTACTGGGGCAGGGCCTCAAAATGACCTTGTTACTGTGTGCAGGCTTTTGCTCTTGCATGTGTGCATGTGTGTCCCCTCCTCTCTTACCTCTCTCTCCTGCTCTCCCACTCATCTCACTGATTAGTATATGATGTATTTTGGCTGCTGTTGTAGGCAGCCTGTTGAGCATGTGGGCCCGGGCTAATTTCTGCTCTCTGGTGGCGATTACAATGGCTGACTCTTTACAGAATAATGAGCCTAAAACACCTGGATGTGTGCCTGCCATACACTCAAAATGGTTTAACTCGACCATAAGAATTCAAGAGAATGTTTTTTGTTCTTCTACCATCCACACAAACACCTCCTACATGGTCCAAATTGTACTCCAAACATGTACGAGACCTGCATCTCTTACTTTTGAGTTCAGAGTTAAGCCTACATACAAAGAGCAGTTTGAGTGATGATGAGGCCATTTTAATGCACGATTGGGATTCAACATGTTTAGGGCGATTGATTTCTCTGTGTCTTGCAAGCGGCCTACTTAAAGGCTCTGGGCTTGGATGACTCCTCCATCTCAGACCCCAATCTGTCTTCTTATTTAAGAGGGCACATACACAGGCTGGGTTTAGTCCAACCTGAAACCTGCAGAGTTGAAAAATGAAGCCAATGCAACAGTGCACAACATTTTTTAGTACCTTGAATGTGCACTTGAAGCTGGCTTCAAAAGCCAAAGAAATCCAATTTTTACAGCAGAAATAAACATCCTAGTACAAATAATGCTCAAGTAGCAGGATAATCTGCAGAAATCTCTACTTTTCTATAACATAGAACTATTTATTTAATTGGAATACCAGACTTAATTTACAGATCATGTATGTTTATGTTATCCACAGGCGAAACTGTTGCCATGATCACTTGAAAGTTTACCACCTAATTCAACCATTGGTATTTTTTTTTTCACTCTTGGCTGTTTTTTGTTTTTCTTTGTGAATTAGACGTGTTTTGCAGTGAAGCTTACTGGCAAGGAAAGAGGCCAATCCTGCCCCAAATGCATGATGGCTCATTGGAACAAATGCACACAGCACCGGAGCGCAGGGACACTTTTTGCACTGCAGTGCAGTTTGACTCATTTGCACAGGGTTAGCAGTGTCTATGAACAAGCCTCCAAGGCTCATCTCTGTAGGAACACTTGGGCCTTTATCTGCTTTCGGGTTCGATGGTTCGTGTTAGTTTTGTTTCTGTGGTGGTTCAAATTCTTGGATTCCTGGACCAAACCGCCTCTTTTTTAGGCATTAGTTTTCTTCTGTTTTTTGAGAAACCATCACTATACCTTGTAGTTCAAACTCCGCAAATGGTTAAGCAGTCAATGGTTCTGTCACTATTATATCTACTGTGGTTGCTATCTTTTGAAAACAGAAAAAACATTCAAATGCCAAACATAAATAAGTCTGAGTCTTTAGTTCCACTTGTAAAGGTCTCCAGAACAAAGTGCTGCCAGCCTGTTGTTTGACAGAGAACTGTGTAATGCTCCAGCAGTCTATCTCTAACAGGATGTTTGTGCCCTCCGTCTCCCTCCTCTCCCCCCTCTGGTGCCAATCCCCCAGGTAGCACAACGTCCTCGCTCTGTCCTCCAAACCTCGCCGGGCCCTGCTGGGACAACCCGGCTCGCTTACTTACTCAGTCACTCAAGGATCACTCTTTCTTAGCCCGCTCTCAGTGCCTCATGCTCGTGACAGCACACGATCTGCACTGTCACTCTCCCCACTACTTTTGAATAGATCTCTTCCTCTCCATTTATCCTTTACCTGCTCCTTCACTGCCCATCGTTCTTTCAGTCTGTCTGAGCACCGAAGTACAATTCCATTCTTTATGCTCTGACACTCCTCCATCCTGCAGGAGTGTTTTATTTTCCTTTTTTTCAGTTTTCCATAAGGATTTACATGTGTTCTGGACCCTTAAATTACTATATTGAGTTTCTTTTTGTTAAACTTTTTGTTTGCCCAGCGATTTCTTTCTCTATCACTCAACTCACCTCCTCTTTTCTTCTTCTGTTCCCCCAGGTGATGCAGGTTGTCAACGCAGATGCCATGGTGGTTAAGCTCAACTCTGGAGAATACAAGACCATCCACCTGTCCAGCATTCGGCCCCCCAGAATCGAGGGAGAGGTACAAACAAACCCGCGTCTGTCTTCCTGAATATGTGTCCGCAGCCTTGCTCAGTGTGAGTGGCTACTTGCGCATGAATAAGTGGATGTATGTGGGGGAGCTTGTGGTCAGCCAATTATTCAGAAGCTCCTCAGAGTTGGCTTCTGTCACTGCTGTCAGTATAGTCGGTTTATATTTATTTAAAGTCAAACACAAGATGCTTTCGTGTCCTTCCACCAACCTCGTTATTTATCCGTCTCTGACGCCCTCTCACATGAGTCTCCTCTCTCTTTAAATAACCACAGGGATACATTTCACCACTTGGTGGCGCCCCTGCAGCTGGGGCACATACAAACACAGCGAGACACTTGCACACACCCACTGCAGAGAGGGAGGCAGATCGATTTTTTTCTCTCTCTCTTTTTTTTTTTGGCTTTCCCCTCCTTTACTCATCCATTCCCCTCAGAGTGGCTTCATGACTGTTAAATACCTAAAACCTTCACATGAACATGCATGCACACACGAGTCAAAATGATGGTAACACATTTTATCCACACAACATGCACTGTTAATGCAGTGACACCAATTCTTTCTCACCAATAACATCAATGCTTTTTTATAAACTCGCACAAGTTTTATTCTAATTTCATTTTTTTACCTTGAGAAAATTAATAATCAATTTGTATTTCTCACTTATCCTTGTTGTCTGGGCCTCACAAATGCCATCATTTTTTATAAATAACAGTCTTTAGATGTCTGAAAATGTCACTCCCAATAATTACAACGTTTTATTTTGACAGCAGAAGTGATGATTTCCTCTTGTCACTGACAACAGACTCCTATTATTCCAATTCAAACCCTTCATTGCCTTCTTTTTTTAACATGTCTGCAGGTGTTTGATAACCATTTCACCAGTCCACGCACTGTTTACAATAAAATGCATTTATGAGAAAGTCATGTCTCACAGTGGCGGCTTCTCTAAGTCTCGGAAACGGTTGTAAAAGTCCTGTCGCAAAATGTCTGCAACAGCCCTTTAAATGTTCCGTTTTGATTGTTTTTGTTTTTATTGACTGCCCCTCTCTGTTTGTTTTTCAGTTTACGGGTTACTTTTTTGCGTCTCTTTTTTTTCTTTTTATTGTCATCTTGTTTTGATTTGTTCGCCTCTACCGCCATATCTTCTTCTCCTCTCTCCCCTGGTGTTGTTTGTCTCGCATCATTAAGAGACAGCTTTGTCTCCCTCTCTCTTTGCCTCCCTCCTTTTCTTCTGGCCTCTCTGCTCCTCTCCCTAACTTTCGCCTGCCATGCTCCCCCTCCGGGTGTGCACGCTGTGGTCAGATTGCTGACCTGCAACGCTGCCCTGTGTGTGTGTTTATTCTCTGTGGCTCTTTTTGGTTGTTACAAGCTTTTGGGGAAAAACATTTTTCTATATTGCTTTTACTTTTCTCTGTGTCTCCAAATCCTCACCATCCTAATATTTCTCTCTTCTTTTCTGCCTTTTCTCCCTTCTCTCTTTTCTTTATCTCTCTACTTCTAATTTCTTTCTTCTTCTTTTTCCTTCTGCTTTATTTCCGTCTTGTCTCTTTCGGTCTTTTACCGCCTATCTGTCTTCTGTTCCTCGCTCTGACTTTGCCTGCACCAGATGCCTCAACAGTATGTGTTTTGTGCTTCATTACGCTGTCGTATGTTGCAGGGAGCCTGAGAGAGTGGTCCCAGATGTGTGTGTTCTGTTGGTGTTGTATTGGCACAGTGGTGTGTGTCCATTTCCAACACTTCATACATGCGTATAATCATGAGTGGGTGTGTGCCTGATTTGAATAAATATGCAGGTTATTTACATGAAAAAAACAGTAATCTCAGTACCAGCTCACTGCATTAGTGGAGTGAAAAATAATACCATATCCATCCTGAATGAGGAATTTCACATTTCCTTTTTCAGCCAAATTGACAGCTGGTTTTCTCTCCAATTATGATTCACTGCATTAGTATTGTACATGGGATTGTCGACATGGTGAAAAATAAAAACCTTTCCCAATCAGACATTTTCCAGAAAGAATGGCATGATTAATTACATAAACACCCTCTAAAGGTGACTTTAAATGTATGCACGGTACTGTAGGTGGCGCTATCATTAAAATTCAAACTTGTAACACAAAGTCACTCCAGAGTCGATGCTCTGTGTAGACAAGAGTGGGCCTTTTTGGGACTGTTTGAGGACACTCTTTTGGAGTTGTTGCATAAGATGTGTTGCTTCAGTGTGTGTTTAGTGTTTTTGTCAAGGGTTGTTCATGGTGCCGCTGCTGGTTTTGTTTGTAAGCTAGTTATTTCTGTCTGCGAGCTAAAGAGCTGCCTGCCTTCCTGCCGTCTGTATCGCCGTTGGCTCAGCTTTGAGTGCTGTCGCTATGGCAGCGATGCAGAGTTGTGATGAGGCTGTGATGAGCTCTCGGACTGTGAGGTAGAATAAAGGCAACTGACAAAGGAGCATTTAATTCGTTTTTCTGACATCTTAACTAAATTTTTTTTTTTTTTTTAATCTGCTGGAATTTAGAATTTTT